CTGTCCTTGAAATGTGTTTGGCTACTTGCCCTTAATTGGTAAAGGAATGCATCTTGTAGATTTCAGTTTGTATCCAGTTACCGGGGTATAAAATAAACCGCAAGAGGGGCTTGCGTAGAATTGTTCCTCCGGCCGGAGTTGTGTCTCTGTCTGTCTTTTGTGTGTGTCTTGTTCTTTGTGTCATTTCGTCCGCAACATGTATCCATGTGCGTCATTTCTTTCCATTTGCCATTGGGCACCCTGGGTTAACACTCATTTATATGCTACATCTGATCCACTGGGCCTAACAGGTAATGTCTATGTTTCCGGGTGTGCGTTCCAGCACTGACCTGTCCACTTTCCCCAAATGGACACCCTACCCAAAACAACACAGCCGTGTGTATCCTCACTCATGTGTGCTATGTGCCTGTATGAGATTTTCTTGGGCCAAATATTTAGGAGAGGAATTGCCTGGTATGTCTGCATTTCAGTTGTCCAGGTAGTGCCACACTGGTCCCTGGAGTATGGCTGCCCAAACTCTTCTCCCCGGGGTACAGTGCTTATGCATATAGATCTCTGTGCACTCCCTGCCATATTCAGATTTACTCATCTTTTCATTTTTGTCATAGAAGATGTAAAGTACTATATCATTGTCTACCAATTTAGGGGGTTTTAGGGTTGGTATGGGTGGAGGGTGGTTTTCTTCTGTAAATTTTCAGATTATTTCTTTGTCTCTTTTAATCTCAGATTTGCTCCATTGTAGACATAGCACATATATTCTCTCTTTCTGTCCTCTATTAACTTTGCCCAAATGATTCTTAGTGAAGGAAATTCAAAGTGCTTAACTTTGATGTAATTGAATTTATTAAAGTTTGGCCTGTAGTATATTTCTTGTTTGTTTCAAGTTTTGTATTTCAATTCTAATCTTTGAACATAGAGTCATATTGGTTCTGGGTGTACCATTCATTGATTCATCAATTATAAATAGCAGCCAGTGATCATCACAAGTGTCCTCTTTAATGTCAATCACCCATCTACTCCATTACCCACCCACCTCCCTCTATCAATCCTAAGTTTGTTCTCAATCATTAAATGTGTCTTCTGATTTGTTTCTCTCTATTCTCTACCTCGAACCTTTTCCCATATGCTTATCTGGTTTTTTTTTTCTTTTTCTTTTTTTCTTACTGAATTCCATGTATGAGTGAAATCATGTGGTATTTGTCTCTCTATGGTGGATTATTTCACTTACACTGTAGGTGCAACCATGTTGTTTCAGATGGCAACATTTCATTCTTTTTAATGGCTGGTAATACTCAATTGTGTATGTGTGTATATATCTTCTTTATCCGTTCATCAGCCTATAGACATTTGGTTGTTTTCATAATTTGACTATTGTTGAAAATGTGAGTATAAACATTGGCATGCATATGCCCCTTCGAATCAGTATTTTTGCATCCTATGGGTAATTCACTAGCAGTACGATTGCTGGGTCACAGGGTAGTTCTATTTTTAACTTTTTTAGGAACCTCCATATTGTTTCCACAGTGGCTACACCAACTGGCATTCCCACTGACAATGAAGAGGGCTCCTCATTTTCTTCATCCTTGCCAACATCTGTTGTTGCCTGCACTGTGAATTTTAGCCATTCTAACATGTGTGAGGTGGAATCTCCTCATGGTTTTGATATATATTACCTTGAAGATGAGTGATATTGATATGTTTTCATGCATCTATTAGCCATCTGAATGTTTCAGGGAAAAGGTCTATTCCTCTTTTCTTCCCATTTCTTCACTGGATTATTTGTTTTATGGGTGTTTAGTTTGATAAATTCTTTACAGATTTTGGATACTAAGCCTTCATCAGATATGTCATCTGCAAATGTCTTCTCTCATTCCATAGGCTGACATTTAGTTTTGCTGATTGTTTCCTTCACTGTGCAGACACTTTTTATTTTGATGAAGTCCTAATAACTCATGTTTGCTTTTGTTTTCCTTGTCTCTACCAATGTGTCTGGAAGGACATTTCTACTGCTGAGGTCAAAGAGGTTGTTGCCCATGTTGTCCTCTAGAATTTTGAGGGATTCTCGTCCCACATTTAGGTCTTTCATGCATTGTGAATTCATCTTTGTGTATGGTTTAAGAAAGTGGTCCAGGTTCATTCTTCTGCTTGTTGCTTTCCAGTTTTTTCAACACCATTCGTTGAGGAGTCAGTAATTTTTTCCAATAGGTATTCTTTCCTGCCTTGTTGAGATTAATGGACCAAATAGTTGTGGGTCCATTTCTGCATTTTCTGTTCTGTTTCATTGATTTTTGTTCTATGTGTTCTTTTGCCAGTAGCATATTGTCTGATCATTACAGCTTTGTAATATATCTTGAAGTACAGAATTATGATGCTTCTAGCTTTTATTTTCTTTCTCAATGTTACATTGTCTATTTGGGGATTTTTTCTGATTTTTATTGAATTTTACAATTGCTAATTCTAACCCTGTGAAGAATGCTGGTGTTATTTTGATAGAGATTGCATTAAATTTGTAGGTTGCTTTGGGTCGTATCAATATCTTAACAATATTTGTTCTTCCAATTCATGAGAATCCTTCTCTAAGTTTGGGAAGTTTTCAGCTATAATTTGCTCAAATAAAACTTGTACCTCCTCTTTCCTCTTTCTCTTCTGAGACTCCTATGATATGAATATTATTACTCTTTTTTTAGAGTGTTGGGTTTCCTATGTCTACATTCATGATCCAATATTTTCATTTTCCTCTTCTTTTCAGCTTAATTATTTTCCATAATTTTCTCTTCTATATCACATATTCATTCCTCTGCTTCTTCCATCCTGTGGTCCTTACCTTCAATCAGCTTCACATCTCAGTTATAGCAGTTCATATTTCAGCTTGACTAGTTTGTATGTCTTTTATCTCTGTAGTAGGGACTCCTTGGTGCCTTTTATCCTTTTTTAAAGCCCAGCTAGTATTTTTATGATTATTGTTTTAAATTCTTGATCAGGCATATTACTTCTATCTGTTTAAATTAGGTCCTTGGTCACCTTGATGTCCACTAGTTCTTTCTTTTGGCATGAATTCCTCTGTGTTGGCATTTTGTCTAGATGACTTCATTCTGTGACTTAGAAAAGCCTTTTATGGTTCATCCTCCTGAGTGTAATTCCTTTATAAGGAAGATCAAGGACTGACATTTAAAGAAATGTTTCTGGTGTATGCAGTGTGTATTCTGCTATTGTGTTTTGATTGCTCTTTCCCTTAGGCCAGTCTTCCTTAGGAATTAAACTTAGCTTAAGTGTGAGTACTTTGACCTTTTCCAGTGTGTGGAGAGTTTTAACTAGATATTTTTTGGTCTGCTTGTTAAAAGAGGCTAGATCCAATTTCCACTAGATCTGATTCTTTGCAGCATTCTAAAGGTCAGCAGACTTGGTGCATATGGAGGTTTCTGTTGGGCTCCTTTGGGAGGAACCTGCTGCCCCTCTGCTTCTCAGGCACACTTGCCCTAGTACCGAAGCCCCTGCAGACTGCAGGGCAGTGGGATTTGGTGTAGCTGCTGAAGCCTCCACTATAGGAGCTGTGCTGTAATCTGTGTGTACTGATGGTTGGGGGTAAAAATGGTATCAGCCAGCTCCTTTTTCCCTGGAGAGGGAAATTCATGCCCACACCTGTTCTGGAAGCACTCACAGAAGAGCAAACAATCTCTCTTCATTGTTGAAGGCATCCCTCAGATTCCTGCCTTCATCCAGTCTATGTCTGAGCCATCTGCCCACCTAGCGGTGCAGTGCTCCATGTTTTATCTCATGCATGCTGGTTGCATTTTAAAACTCTAAACTTTAGGAACAGGTATAGCATGGATCCATGCTGATACTGTGGGGGAGGGTCTCTCACAATGGCTGGTACCAGTTTGTTCCAGGGCAGTATCACAAATGCACAGGAGCTTGGTGTGGAGGGTAAAGCACAGTAATAAGCCAGGGTTAGTGGCTCCCTTGCTTGTATGCTAGTGAACTGGCAATGAAATGGTGCCTGCAGGCTCTTTTGTCCCTTAGGTCAGTGCCACCAGCCAAACTGTCTTTCCCAGTGCAACCCAGGGGATGCTCAGGCCACACTCTCCACTTCTGGGCCTCAGCCCTCCCTCTCCACAGGAGCACCTTACACCCACCAGACTCCACCCTGGTGATGGTGGGTCATTTGTAACCTTTAGATTTCAACTTCTGCTCTTGTAAAATCCTGTGATAATCAGTCCATCTCGTTTTTCTGGCCAATGGCTTTGGGGAAGTGTTTTCTTGTGCGATGCACTGCACCCTGCCCTCTCTGTCTTTCTCTATCTCTCTATTTTTCTCTCCTCTTTCTCGGATAAGGGCTCCCTCCCCTCTGAAGTACCAGCAATACTTTTGTTGCCTAAATTACATTTCCACACCTCTTACCTTAGAGGATGTGGCCTCTTTTCGACAAATGCAAGAAGAGCAAAATAAGCAAGTAAGAGAACATCGCATTCAAAGCCTTCAGTAACCCAAACAAAACTAACGACAAAATGAAAAGGCAACCCATTAAATGGGAAATTGTTTGTAAATTATTTATCAAATGAGGAATTAATGTCCAAAATATATCAAGAACTCATAAAACACAATAGAAAAAAATAACAAAAATATGACTAAAATATGAGCAAATGATTTAAATAGATGACATGTATATATGGTTTAGTCTGAAATGACTGCTAAAATAAAGTGTGACCCAAATAATTTGTGACTACTACACATTATGGTTCTTAATATAAGTTAATTTCCCTTCCTCTCATTCACTTAATTATTAAATACAGCTTCAACAATATGTCTGAACTAGTTGCCTAAATGGTAAATATTCCTGCATCCTTTCCCAGCTCATATCAGCAATTTAGTGTTTGACAGGCCATCTTCAATGTACGGTACCTACTTCAATATTTTCTCCATTTCCTTGACCAAATCAAAAATAACTTATAGGTACACTGAGGAAGACATTATTTAACAGGATATTAAATTCAGTTAATTCTATAACATCGAATAGGTTAAGTGCATATGTTAAATATAATACTGGTTAAAAGACTGAGTTACCTGTTATAAAAAGTTATTATTTTATTTCTTTGGTTATCTACTAGACTACAGAACTAACGGGGCCTGCATGGCTCTTTCGGTTAATCACAGAACTTCAGCTCAGGTCATGATCTCACAGCTCATGGGTTGGGCCCCATGTTGGGCTCCATGCTGACAGCTTGGAGCCTGGAAACTGATTTGAATTCTTTGTCTCCCTCTCTCTCTGCATCTTCCCCACTTGCACTCTGACTCTCCCTGTCTCTTAAAAATAAAAAAAACAATTGAACAATTAAAAAAAAGAAACAAATACAGAACTCACCAGATTTGGGGTATGTGATTATAAAGACATCATCTTCTCTGATTTCAAAATCTTCTAAATTTTCTATGAAGTCGATATCAAGTCCTATCTGACTAAAATAGTATCCCTTAAATTTGAATAAAATTGACTCTGGGTCTTCCATATTTCAGTTACCTGCTAAAGACAGAAAAAAATATTTGAAAGAAATTTAGTAAAATTTTATGAAGTCTTCCCTACTGTATCTTCAATTGTTGGCCACATACTTAGAGAAGAAATTGATTTTTTGTTTTCTCCACAAACACTGATAAACAGCAGACTCTGAAAGCTACTATCGTGGCTTCGAGGCATGTGGAGTTTGATCCAAAGCCCAGGAACCAGTTGTTCATGGCCGGGTCTTAGATTTATGTGTGTGTGTGTGTGTGTGTTCCATTTACATAATTAGTTAAAAAATTAATAAGTAATTAGATAAAAATAGTTAAAAATTAATATATAATTTTTAAAAATACTTTTAATCAGAAATCATACATAATATATATGCATATGTATATCTATATAAACAGGAAACATGAATATACAGATTTGATTGGAAAGGGCTTTAGAAACAGTTGTTTCCTGTCACACCTTCAGTAGCTAGGATGTTTCCCCTCAAAACTGAAGTACATGGTTTAGTGTTTAACATGTTTATATAAGTTTTATTTACATACTCTCTGGGTGTGAGTTATCTACTTAGAAGGTCTCTGATAACTTGTGATTTGAATTTTGTCTTACTTCCTATCTTTTAACTAGTTTAGAGTAATTGGGAAGGTACAAGCATGAACTAACAGACATGAATGTGTTCCAGGATACCTGAGAAATTGCATGTGAGCAATTAAATCATCCATAATGACCAAATGGACAATGGCACAAAGTATGAAAGAAAACATTCAAATTATGGATCATATATAGAAAGTGCAAACAAAACTTTGTGATTCATCATTGATGGATATATTTTCCTTCTCATTATTATCAGTGAGCAACCTTATGATAAATCTATTTTGACACTATGAATTCTGAGGTTTTAGTTAACATGTATTACTCTGAAGTGTCCTTTTTTTCTATTTCCAAAAATGGTTGGTCATAGGAAGAACTGACAATGGAAGACATTCAGAATCACACAATTTGAAAGCAATTCCAGCAAGTCTGAGACAAGGGTCATTAAAAGAAAAAGAAAGTAAGTGATTTTAAAAATATATATTTTGATAGTCACACAGTTACTGGAACACGTAAGATTGATAGCATTTGTTTACCAAGGAGACTTACAAAAGCTGGAAATTATTTGGAATCATCAACATGAACTCACTTGTGGGGAAGGAAGTCAGAGACCAGACAGGGAAAGAGGAGGTTAAGTTAGCCTGTCACTAGAGCTTTTTAAGGCATCTCTTCTTTGCCATCTTGGGTTCAAAGAAACACCCTAACTTCCACCTCCATACCCATTGGGCTCTGCTAATAACTCAGTATAAAGAAGCAGTGGCTCCCTATGAGTAACCAATTTCATATCTTGGAATCAAAACAATAATGATGAGCCTATAACATCTTGATCTTTTTGTAAAGTAAACATAATTCCTTCTTATATTCTACTTATATTAGATCCTAGTATATTTAATGCTCTCATGGTGAATTACATCCTTCTTTTAGTATGTGATCCTAAATCTCTAAATAAACATTTAAAATAATATACTGGTTCACTTTATTGAAAATCGAGCAAAGAGTTACAGTATACATTTTTTGATACATAAGAGCTGATAGCTTACATATTTTTAGCCTAGTGTTTAGAATGTCACCATAACATCTGAAACTGCATAACTCGTAAAGTTCATACAAGAGAAAGGAAGCAGACTACAAAGTCATCCTTAAAACTACCAATTTTGCACGTGGATTTTTTAGGTGAAAACAAGTAAGAATGAACCAACACAGAAACCTTTTTATTTTTTCCTTAAGTTCCTAAAAGCATCTAGACGGATGCCTGTACCATGAAGACAGCTACTCCCACATTTAACTTTTTATTTCACAAAGACTCCAACCACATGGCAGCACACACATCTGTCAGCAAAAAGTAAGCTCTTCTCAACTTCCTGTGAATTGTCTTCCTCCTTTTGGAATTCCCTCACCTTTGACCCTTTTGTTAGCCTAGGGTGGTAGATAAGCCTCAATTGTCACATTGTTTTGAATTCTTTTTGCCTTTGTGGGGCTCCTATGCATATGTAATTAAATTTTCTCCTGTTAATCTGCATTATGTCAATTTAATTATTATACCACCCAAAGAATTATAGAATGAAGAAGGGGAAAGATTTTCATCCCCAATAAAGAATGAATACACTACTATACTAGTTTTTTGAAATGAAGAGTAAACTTTGAAATAAATATCAATAAGAAGATTGTGTTGCCGCCAATGGAGACACAGGTAAAGATTAAATTTTCCACAAGGAGATTAATGATTCACCAATTAGCAGAGCTCCCAGAATCAAAAACTAAGGAGGAGGGATTAGACTGATACAGACTGATGCTGACCTGCAGAGCATGCAAGAATCTAGTGAAAAGCCTCTATACATTTATCACTAATAAAGGATGGTAATGGTTCAAGCAGCTTAGTGCTACTCAGAGCTGCTGAGCAGAGATCAAAGTTTCTGATTTTGAAATATACCAGAAAAAAAAAAAAAAGATATATTTGCTTGCTGTTCCATTTATGGTTCTCTAATGCCCATAGGTCAAGAGTGCAATTATCGAGTTGCTTCTGCTTCAATAGTACTAGTATTGGTGTCTTCATATCTTTGTGTTGTTTCTTGTGAAAGAGAATTGAGAATACATGGCATGTGAACAACTGAGAAGTTGAGAGAAAGAAATCCATATGCAAGAAGTAAATACAATGTTTTGAAAGTATAGGCATTTTGCCACAATCTACAATGTATTTGACACATGTGTAATCCACACTGAACTACCAGTCACCATTTACTTTCCACTCTGCGCCTCAGTTTTGTCACTGTAGGCAAGGTCTTTGTACCACTGTATCACAGACAGAATGATAGGTGTCAGGGTTCACTCTTTGAGTGCACTGTTGTGTCCTGTCTTTCATGGGTTCCACACTCTATCCGGTCAGTTTGTGGTCTAAATAGAATGGCCAGAAAGGATAAACATCTAAGATTTATTCAAATTCCCCCTATATGTACTTGGGTTATTAACCTTACTTGCTGCTTCTCTTCTATCATTAGTGTTTCTTCAACAACAAATATTTCTCCCACATAGTAAGATAAACCACCACTGTTTGGCCTCTGTGATGTCATAGTGGGCACAGTATCTTATTGGGACCTGGACTCAAGTCCTTCCTAACACATCTCCTCTCACCCCTATTCAGTGAACATGTCACCAGGCAAAGGCAGCTTGTGTTTCTTATTTAAAACTACTCTCAGTAGCTTTGAAGTTCCTGCTTTCATCTTTTCTGTTGTTTGTTTTCATAAATAAAAATTCCATCCAAAGTAAGGCTTTAATCCCTTTAACTGAAGAAGTCTTTATGTTAAGGAAATACACATTTACTAGGACAGAAAGTGGATCTTACAGTTATTCACAAAACCTCTTCTGAGAAGGTTTCCTAAATTAAAACACATCACATTTCATGAAGTAAAAGTTGTTTGTTACAATAAAGAAATAATTGCGATTCAGTAAAGGAAGAACTTGAGGGATCTAAACTGAAACTAATGGTTATTGCAAATTGTAGTTATTTGGTAAACTTACAAGAATGAAAAGAGGAATATTTACCTATTTAAACACAATCTCAGACCTATTATTGACTGACCAGCAAGCAGTGTAGGTCTTATATTAAATATAATGAAAGATGCCGGGAGCCGCACCGGCCTCTGGATGGCAGTCACAGAGCAGCAGTATTTGCGCAGCTCCTGACATAGGGAATAAAGGCTGGTGTCTCGTTCTGCCGCTGCTGACTCATGTTGCAAATATCTATATACAACTTAAACTATATGTTATCCTGTTTCTCAGTAAGAGCAAAAAGCTGACATCTCTTTCTGCCACTGCTGGCTCATATTGGAAATATCTATATACAACTTATATATTAATCTGTTTCTCAGTAAGAGCACCCTGTTATTTTCTTGGTTGTGGTTTATCTGTATGCAACTTAAACTATATCTTGTTTCTCAATGAGGGCATCCTGTTAGGCTATCTATATACAACTTAGCAAATGTGTTATCCAGAGAGCATTCTATTATAAGTTCACTATGACTGGAATAATTCGGCAATTGTTTATCGCAAAAGACTGTTGTAAAGAAACTTCTTTTGCTGACTTCATATTGTGGTTGAACCTTTAAATAAACACACCAAAACTGACAGGTCAGAGATGACTGCCTGGTGATCAGAAAGAATCGCGGGGCTCTCCCACTTTCTCTCGCCGACACCGTCCATTCAGGGACGTCCTTCAGGGACCCCTGGACCTGCCTGAGCCGGCTCGGCCTCCAGCAGAAAGAATTATTTTTTTAAATCTGGGGAGTGTCATCAAAGTGTGCATAATTCTGGGAATAGACTCCAGAGAACTCGCTCTAGTAACACACTATGCAAAAATAATAAATGAATAAATAAATAAACAAGTAAAGCAATGCAAAAAAGCAGGACAAACACTTCTTGGACAAGATAGAATCCAGACAAAATATTACCAAAAAAATTTCCATTTTTGAACTAAAAGTACATATTCCCCAAAACAGGAAAAGGTAACACATACTTGGGAGAAAAAAAGATCAGTCAGTAAAAACGGTCTCTAAATGGACCCACAGTGCTGGGTTAGCAAACAAAACAGCTATAAAACAATATGTGCATTTGTTGAATTCGAAATCAACAAGTTGCTCTACATTACAAGTTTGATATGACAGAAGAAAGTATACTGGGATATGAAGACAGATCAATAAAGAAAATAATTACAAAGAATGAAAATAACAGAAAAAGAAAGAAGGAAGAAAACTGAACATAGCCTCAGGAAGCTGTGGAACATGTCCAGCATACCAACATATGCGCAAGGAGAGGGAAGAGCAGAAAAAAATCTATGGAGAAATGTGGCCAAGACTTACCAAATTTGATAAAAATATTAACTTACACATCCATGAAGCCCAACTAATAAGTAGGATTAACATGAATAGGTCAAAAGCTACACAGATCACAGTTCAACATTGAAACATAAATTTTAGAATTGTTTGTTTTATTTCTGTGAAGCATGCTCCTCCCTTTTAATGCTTTTGATGTCATAAATTGCCTCTTATGAATTAATTAAATTGCTATGAATTCATTAACCAACTGTAGTGCCTATTGCTATTTTGAATGTTCTCTCCCTTTAACTTTTATTCTATACTTGTTTTACAAACTATTCTTAAATAAAGTTAAGCTAATTTTGACTGTCTATATCACATTTATCAGAGTTATGTGTGATTTCATTTTTTGTGTGTCACTAGTGCCTTGACCTTTCATCTGGAAGAGCTTTCTCTGGTTTTCTTGCAAGGCAGGTCTACAGGTGGTGAACTCCCCAGCTTCTGTTTGTCTGGGAAAGCTCTTATTTTCCTTAATATCTGAGCACCTTTGGTAGATAAGAGTATTCTGTGCACTTGTATGTTACTCCTTTCCAAGGATTGGGAAGTCCTCAGCAAATTATTTCTTTAAATAAACTCCTCCCTTTCCTCTCTTCTCCTTCAGATACATGCATTATTCTTATATGGGTCGTTCTAATAGTTTGATTACTCACATAGGGTTCGACTCTTATCAGAAATCTTACTTTTCTCTACTCTTCCAGTTTAACCATTTCTAAATTCCATGCTCCAGATAAGCTATTTTCTCTTTTATCTCACCTGTTGTGCTTCCGAATGAATATTCATCTCATGTGTTGTTGAGTCCTTCAACTCTGGAAATTATTTGGTTCTTTTTTTCAGTTTCAGTCTCTCTGGTAAAGTACTTCTTCTGTTCATTAATGTTATGCCTTAGATCACAGAGCTAAGTTTTGTTGTAGCTCACTGAATTTTCTTCATAAAAGCAGCTTTAAATTATATATCAATAAGATCACAATATTCTGTCTTTATTTTTTTAATGTTTTTTATGTATTTGTGAGAGAGAGAGCGAGAGAGAGAGAGAGCAAGTGCATGAGCAGGGGAGGGTCAGAGACAGAGGGAGATATAGAATCTGAAGCAGGCTCCAGGCTCTGAGCTGGCTGTCAGCACAGAGGCCGTTTGGCTCGAACCAACGAACCATGAGATCACGACCTGAGACAAAGTCATTGCTCAACCCACTGAGCCACCCAGGCGCCCCTCTTTGTCTTTGAATTTCTTTCCTGGAGAATTGTCCTTTTTCTGTGTGATACCATCTTAATATATTTTTCATAGTGCATGAAATATGCCTTTGTCATCTCACTTGAAGGTTTGAACAGCTTCAGTATATAGGAAAGGCTTTGTTTACATTGATTCTAACATTTATTTATTTATTTTTTTTAGATCTAAGTTTGAGTTTTAATTACCTACATTTTTAATAAGTATAAATTCAATTGAATTATTGCCTGCTTTAAAAAATGATCAAAGATATATT